CTCTAAACAACTTGTTAGAAATATCTGAACTAGCTGGCTTTAGCTCATGTGATTCTGTCTCTTGGAGCTGCAATCACAGCTTCTTCAGTGTGGCCATATCTTCAAAAGGGCGGCTTAGGACACAATAAGCTCAGCACAGGCTTATGTCTTTATTGTCAGCTTCCCACTCATGCTCTGTTATCCATTTTCCTCCTTATTCTTTGAAAACATTCTATTCCCATTTCAGTCTATTTCGTCTTTTTGCCTTTCTTCAAAAACTCCCTTCTACCTCAAACCCAACTTTTTATTTTGTTCTCCTTTTAACATGTTTCTCTTCTGCCCCCATTACTATGTCACTTGCACAGTGTGACGCTCTTTCCTGCTGTCCCAAAGGGCAACCTTAAAACACACCCAGAAAATTACACATTTTGTGTGTAAACCCTGCTCTTCCAGTATGAAGTGTCTGCAGCATGGCTGGAATTTTTTTAGACTGCAAGCTTTATGGATCTGGGAGTGACTTTATGTATTGTAGTAAGCTGAGCACACTGATAGAACTTAATAATAAACTCAAGTTTTTAGTCTTCCCTTTCAAGGTTGAATATACTTTTGCAGTTACCAGCTCCTTGTTCTTATTTTCTCATGATCCCCTCACTCTCTTTAGCTTTCACAAGCATCCTTTCCAGCAGTCATTCAAGATAGCCAGTTTTCTAGGCAAAGGAAAGGATGCTAAAGCTCATCTGGTTGGAAGTGAAGTTTTGATACAGTGTCCTCTGGAAAATCATAAATGTCAATCTGGAGAGCTGGTCAAGCTGGAATGTCAAGCTGGAGAGAGACAATTGGAGGGAAGTAAGGTTTATACTTAGTTTTTATACTAATTCTGTTTTATGATTTTAATAACGGCACTGGCATAGTATTAGGAGTGTGTGAGGAAATTTGTTGATGGCAGAAAGTATAAAGCATCATTAGTGTAAAGAATGGAAATGATGCACGAAAAGAACTAGGTGACATTGATGAGTGGAATGGTAGATGTGAGCTGAAATCCAGCGGTTCAAAATGTAATAACACAAAAATAGGAAGTAAAACAAATTGAAACTGGAAATTAGAATAGAGAAACTTGCCACAATCAGGATCCAAAACAGCTTTTCAATCAGGTTAATGTGCTTTCACACTGGTACTCAAATTATTCATGAAAACTGTTGCATGATACAATGTCTGCAAAAGAAGGTGATTTGATTCAGTGATTCAGGGGTCCTTTCTGAGGCTGTGTTTCTACTCTTAGGTAAATGGGCTATGCCTCAATACAAACATGGTTTGGTAGAAAAAAGATGTGTACACTTATTTAATGTAGGAATTGGTCAGTGTTTGAACTATGTGTTAGACTTATCTAGTCTTGCAGAACACCTTTGACCAAGTCCTCAACAGATAATAAACCATGACTGAAGTTAACAAGCTGTGGCATTTTATACCACTCTGCCTGTAAATTTTAAACTTGGTATAGCACCTTTAATGTGCAAAGTGAGTAGATCTTCATCCTTGCAGAATGGGAGCTGAGACGGATGAAAGGAAAAGGGGTTGACTCTGGATGCCAGAGAAGACTGGGCAGTGTTTCTTTCAGAATAGCACTGTAGCACACTGTGTAACAAAGTGCAAGGGCTCTCTGGATACTTCTCACTATAGAAACAGATACAGAGTGTTTCATATTTTGTTTTGCATGCTGAACTCGACTTTTTATTCTCTTCTTATGGGAAGAAGAATAAGCAAATGTTATACTGTTTACTTATGCTTAAGTGACATTTTCCTGGTATTCTAAACAAAAATAGAATATCAACTGCAAATGGCGTGTTGTATGCCCTCCTTTAATTCATACTGTGAAACAAGCAGATCCGGGACTGCTGTGAAAACAAACCTATGACCTCGCTGTTATATGATTAAAACCACAGCCATACCTTGGTTAGTGATTAGCTTCAGTGTAGTACATTTTTCTAGCATTTTCTTACTGCGTACCAAGGTATGGCAACACAGGAAGATTCCCCACACTTCATTCTTATGAATGATTGTACCTCTAAATACAAAAATGAGCAACTAAACTTCCCTGTTTCTGAGGTTTTGAAACTAGACACCATCAAACATTGTGTTTGGGCCAGAACAAAGTAAAATATTAATGTAACTGTCACAAGACATGCTTTGAAGATTGTATTAGGGCAATTTAGATGTCTTCTTAGAAAAAAATTTGCTTAGTTTAATAACACAGTATTCTATTTTGAGTATTTGGATAAGAAAAACAAGTTGTTTGGATTCCTGTGTTTTTAGTGTAAAAGAAGCCAGAATGATTTCAGCACATAGATCCAGAGGAGCAATAGAGCAATATGTAATGGAGACAAATATAAGTTTATTAGAATAGCTTTTTAGCCTATGAATTTTATATCAGGAGCAAGATTCCAGAGTAAATTAGAATAGAAGACAAAGAAACAGGAGCACTGCAACACAGTAAGACAGAGGAAGTAAGAAGACAATGAAACATTAGTTCACTAGTGAATGAGAATTTAAAACTATATTAAGGAAACAAGTTAACTGAAAGTAGTAGCATTCTAGAAAGTTATATATCTGGATGAACACAACAGCCAGGTTGTTCTGTAAGTCTTCTCTTGAGTTCATTTCACTCACTCCAGTTGCAACGCAGATGCCGAGCCATTGATTTCAGTTTGTTACTGCCAGTAAAACTGAACTAACCGTAGAGAAATCATATCTCATTACTAATAAAAATGGATTTCTTGCAGCTCCTCCTGAAGCACTTGGTCCTGTCTATTGTTAGAGGACAGTACTCCAGATAGAGAGCTTATACAGTCCAGTGTTGTGAATGCTACTTCCATAAAAAAAGATCTGTTGAACAAACCCCTCATGGAAGGTCTTGCGCTTCCTTATGCCCTGTCCTTCAGAGTACGCGCACACAACCACCTGAGGTGTCTGATCTGCTTAGTTAAACTAGGAATGTCTTTAAAGTTTTACCTACAGGATTTTAATTCTGAGTCTTTCCCACTCCTGCAACTATGAGGATTGTGGTAGTAGGGTTGTTAGTACAGACCGTGCACCAGCAGCTTCCATGCTGTATCATCTACCTGGAGCAGATCTAGACATGACAATCATGAAATGGCCTCGACCTTGCTTCTGAGCTACCTCTTCCACTGTTGTTAAAACTGACTAAGCCACACAGACAATAACAGAAATATTAAGGAAAACGCAGATAAAGCCTGGTTATGCAGGACAGTTTTTCACATGGCCTCATTACATTCACAGTGGCTTGCTCAGGTCTTTAGAAGGGGTACAGTTCCTTCTGAGCTTCTTAAAACATTAAAATTCTCTGGGTAGAGTACACATACTGGACCAGCTTGACACATTTAGCCTGTGAGGAGAAAACCTTGTCACTACACCTTGCTCAGAACAGCCACCCTAATACTGGAAGGAAACATGTTTAGGAGCGGTGTTAGCTAAAAATTTCCCAAGAAATGTGGGCTGCTTTGGGGTTTTTTTGGGGGGGGGGAGGGAGAGGTGCCAAATATGAAATTAAGTTAGAGATAAACAACTTTTGTGGTAAGAATTGTCTGCTTTGAAAGGGAATATCATTGATTCATCAAGACGCCAAGAAATTAAAGTCCAATTACTTTTTGGCTGAAAAAGAAAACTTTCTGATAGTGGATTTTTTTTCCCCAACAAAGTCCATTTTTAAAAGAAATATTGCAAATAGGATATCTCCATAGTGTACCCCATTTTCTTCAGCAATTTCATGACTTGTTTATACATCTTAACTTTTTGAGCAGCTGTACTCCAAAGTCTGATGCTGCTATAATCTGTGTGTGTGACCTTGAGCATGTTCCTCAGTGTTCTGCTGAGGGAGTTTCTTTACCTACAGAATGGGGGCAGTGTGCCTACTGTAAGGTTACCAACAGAGTTTAATGATGTTTGTGAAGTATTTCAAACTTTTCCAATGGATGGCAGAGGTACCCATTTTGGCTCCCTTACTTTATCATCCACAATAGGCCAATGTTCGCTCATTGTCAACAATGGCTACATCTGTTTCGCTTAAAAATGTCACCAAGGAGCCATTGCTACTTCTCTGGCCAAGTGAAGCGGAATAACTCATGTCCATGCAGCTTAATTCAATCCATCCATAATGGGAATGGACGCATGCACATTCCATATTATTTGGAGATGTCCCTAGTTAAATATGGATCACACAAACCTACCTGCCTTCTCCCTCCATACTTAATGCTGATAGTTTAGGTTTCTGCAACTGCTGCTCAAATCCCTAAGTACGTTACAGAGTCCCTGGACAGGTGTGTGGTGTCTGGAAGAACACAAGCTCTGTAAACGCAAATGAATACGATCTAGGAGACGTTAACTGCCATAACTAGAAATATTAAAACTAAGTCAGCTACACTAAATGATGGGTTAGAAAGGGTTAGGAATGCCACTGTCTTTGTTACAAAAGTCATGCCTACTCTAGATGGTAGTCATTCCTATTAGCCTCAGAATGGAATTGTAGTAACTGTTCCCTGCTGCCAACACACCAGTGATCTCCAACCAGTCCTCAGAAGGACATAAGAGATCCCTGCCCTATTTCGTAGCATCTGCCACCTCTCTTTCAGTAGAAACCTAGAACAGACCACCTAGCCAAAAACTTCATAGACACTTCCAAGGAATGTTTTTAATAAGTTAAATGGATTAGTTTCTCAGATGATGTGGATTTAGAGATCTGAGTAAGAAATACTTGTATCTGTGACAAATGGTACATTCCTAATTAAGAGTCAATAAGTAACTGTCTACATGGAGTCATGGAGATAATGACTGGCAGCCTTGTGACCAAGCAGGAGTGGAGATGCATATTTTAATTATGCTCCATAATCTTCAGTAAGTAAAGAAAGGCCAAGCCTGATGCATAGCCCTTACGGGAAGAAACTATCAGTGCACATTTCCCTCTCTTCCACCCTGACAGCTGATCAATCCTAGAGAACAGTCAGACTCACCCACTGTTCCCATGAGCTTGGTAATGATGAGCAGCAAAGAGACGCACACAATCTTTCCAGCAATCTTCATGTCAGCTCCTGCTTTCATGGCTCAGGCAGCTTCGTCACTCCATCCATCCCGCTGCAAACCTAGCTGTAGTCATGGAGAGCTTTTCTTGTCTGCTAGTACATCCTCACAAGCCAGTGTCACTGTTTTCTCTCCCCTTCTCCCTTCTCCTCTACTCTAGCTGTGTGCACTCCTGACTGACTAGCTCCTCAAAGCTGGAGAGGTTCCTCCTTCTGACTTTTTGCAGCACTAGGCTTCCTGTGCTGAGAGCCTAGGCGAACGCTGAGGAAACAGACTGAACAACTCCGCCTTCTGTTCATTGGCTCTCCTCTCAAGGCTGATGAATGAAGATAAACCCCACAACAGAGCTCAGATGGGGTAGAAGTGAAGGAGATTAATCAAAGCTGTGTTTAATATCAAAAATAAAATCTTAATCTTAGGGAGCCAGAGAGAAACATTCTTTATCCAGTGTTTCATCACAAACTCGGAGAAAATTCCTCCTTCTGTCCCCCCGAAAAGGATAAGCAGTCTTAAATCTTCTCTGTAAGTGACATTTTTAATGATTTTTTTCCCCTTCAGTAGATGCTTAGCTACTGGCAACTGTGTTCTCATCTTGAACAGGAAGGAAGGCTTTCTGGACCCTGGGGGAGAGACTGCATGCTGAGGGAAAAGAAAATGCTATTTTACCTACCTCTCAGCAGAAATAATACAGATATTGAAGCAGGTCCACACCTTTTACTGAAAAACTCTTGATATTTTTTTAGAATACTGTTGGTTTTTTTAGAACAGTGTACCTATTTCTCCACTTCCTCATTGATATAGTCATTCCAGATTCAGATCTTCTTTTCCCTTCCCTTCCCTTCCCTTCCCTTCCCTTCCCTTCCCTTCCCTTCCCTTCCCTTCCCTTTCTCTTCCTTTCCTTTCCCTTCCCTTCGCTTCCCTTCCCTTTCCCACAGCTCTTCCCCAGAACAATTCTGTGGGCTAGCAGTAGAGGAGAGGCCTCTAGCTGTAAAAAGCTACAAGCCAGAATAATTATCACTGAGGACAGGGACAGAAGACGAGAAGACAGAAAACAGAAGCAAGCCAGCAGGAAATTGCGCTGTTCAGCAACGAGGGCTGCATGGCACGTTTGGACATCCACAGACTGTCTTCGTGAGTATAGTATGATGATCTGGTAACTTTGTTTGGTCAGACTGGTGTTCAAAAATAGCTTGCATTAATGTTCACTGCAAAAAAGGAGTGTGAATTAAGGTCCTGTGTAAATAAGTAAGAAAAGACTGATAATGATCACATAAAGAACAATCAGACAAGGCAAAAATTCAGCTGGATCTTCTTGGTTCCAGGATCTTATTATTGACTATGGTTTTGTGCAGGAGGGAGTACTGTGAATTTTTCTCACTTGATTTTATAATTTCAGTTTAACATTTTGGCACTCCTCTGCACTCTTCTGAGGTTTTCAATATGCTATTCACATTTACACTTTATTTTTTGAGTATTTAGTGTTGATCTAGGAATTAGTAATGCATGTAAACAGCTGGTTTTTTGGATAAGGGCATGGAGAGGAAGGGGAGGTGATTGTATAGATAGAGATTAAGATACACAGATGGAGAGAGAAGCAGGCAAAGCATAAGCAGGATGAGGCCTTAAATGTGAAAGAAATGGTGCTGAAACTTGATGCAAAGGCCAGAGGAAGCAAAGGTGGAGCAAAACGCACAGACGTTTGACAGACTGGATAGATGACTGCTGCATGAACTGAAAGACTTGAAAAAATGAAAGATGCAATGGGGTAGAGGAGAGTTTAGAAGAGAGCGAATAACCTTTTTACTAGAAAAATTCTGCTTTTAAGTTGTCCCAGTGAAAGGTCTCTGCCATTCCTGAGGACCAGAAGGAGTTAGACAGCTGGATTCTTTTGCTGGGCAAATATCATTTAAGATGTCATTAAGAACCTTTGGGAACATTTTTCTGGTTGAAGCCTGGGTGTCCAGGGACAAGTGAGGGGCTCATATAAGGAGCTAGTCCAGAAGTCTGAGGAGGACTGAGTCTGGGAAGCACTGCAATGGTTCCTTTGTTTACCTTGTGAAAATCCTACAGCAGGCAACAGAACTTAAGAAGTGAGATATGAGAAGTTTGTGGTGGGACCTTACTAAAACCATGAATTTTTCACTAGACGCGATGAGGACTTTTTATTTCTTCCTCACTGGAGCCTGGCCTGTCAGTTACACACTGGGAGCCAGGATCCAGTGACAGTGACCCTAAGAAAGGCCAGAGTGGAAGAGAGGATGACGCAGGTGGAGAAATAAGCATGGATGCTGGAATGCATGTAGAGGGGGGAAAAGAGTCAGGGTTTTCTGGGTGCATCGGTCAGAAATGTAGTTTGCATTTGATAGAAAGGAGAAGGAGAGGGATAAGTTGATTGTGACAGCAAAAGCTGAAGCCTGAGACATAGCTGAGCATGATGACGTTGCCAACGAGCTGCAGCTGAAGACACACTTTCAGTAAGTGCACGTTTCCACACAGCAGCAGAGAAAACTTGAGGATCATTTAAGGTGTAATGAAGAGCCTCTATTCACAGCCTTCCTGGCCTCTGAATTTTCCCTGTCTTCTGTGTTCTGAGAGCACTGGTCTGGGCTCTGCTTGTGGTTTTCAGCGTGGGTATTGCAGAGCCATTTTATGTTAATTATCATAATGTCATCAGATATTATTTGACAAAGGCACAGTCTGTGATCTGCTCTGTTTGAAGTGGTTTTGCTCAGCCTTAAAGTCCTTGCTGACAGCAGATTCCATACTAATAACTTTTTCAATAAGTAGTACAGGAGATGTAAAGCTGGGTTTTAATTTACAAGGTGCAGACAGAAATAAAATTACTTTTTAGGAACTTCATTTCCAATGATGACAGGCTGTACATAAATGGGTAAATCAAATTATCTCTCAAATTATTTGGTATTCCAGAACCAAATGGTTCTGGAAAAGTATCAGAATTCTCTCTGCTACCGACAGATCGGTTTTACTCACAGAATAAGTGCACACCCTAGCAATTGGCCTTGTCTGGGAATTTGGCAAGGAGGTGGAATTAAGACTGTTACATTAAGCAATGGCCTTCTCCCGATCTACTTTAGCATTAAAAACACTTTAATCCTTTTAGAGATAACAGTGTGTGTCACACTGATCGGTGAATTTCCTGTCTTTTGATGATCTTAGAGTCTAAAAATGATTATTTTTATAATGAGGGACAAGTATTTTCATAAGCTTAATTTTCATCCTCTGTAATGAAATACATTAATTTTGCATAGGTGCATGTGTGTGAAAGAGAAAGCAAAAGTATTGGATAGCATCACTTCTTGTGTGGGCAGATGCAAAATTTCTGCTACACACACCTTGCTAATGCACTTCGCTTTGAGTGGCTGTTCCTCATACTATTCTAGTTCTGGTCTTTAATGGAGTTCACCCAGTCTACCTGGAATATGACTGGCAGATCTGCTCAAAATATGATTGCCTGATGATTGCAGTTACAGGCTCTGTAAGTTCTACTCTTGCTTTCAGCATGCTGTGAAGGGCAGTATGTGGTGGTCATTTCCTAGTGTGCTGGCCTCATCACATGGCAAGTTCCCTAGCAGAATGGCATAATGAGGTAGACTGGCTATGGAGATAAACTTTGTAAACTTCATAGCAGTAAAGTGACATGGTATGCTTATAAAACAGCTTCCTGGTTGTTCTGTGGTTGAGTACTGTTTATTCCTGGAAACACCCACACACCTGAAAGTCCTGATGAGAATATGGTTTCTCTTACACAACTCCTACTGGAGGGTAGGTAAGCCTGAGGTGAAGCCCACATTCTCAGAGTCCCTTTCCCTTCAGAGAGGCTTGCATTTAATAGCAAGTCTGAAATTGGGAGGTCCTGACTTTGAGTTCAGAGCTGTTGTGCACCCTTCATACTCAGGTATAGGTGAAGAAAATTCTACCCACGTTTTGAAGTATCTCTGGGGAGGGTGGGTGGCCAGGACTATAAATATTAACTCCTTCCCTGCAACCCAGCCTGAGATGGTGCTTCCTGTGACTCCTTAGATTCCTATCTCAAAAACTCTCGCAGGCCATATCCACGCTGTGCAGCTGCTGACAGTGCAGAGCTCCCTGAGCTGGCTTTTATCTGAGCAAGCTTCAGAAGTGGAAGCAGGGCAGCTGAGTCAGCACAGCACTGTACTTAGGCAGGGAATAGCAACTTGTTCATGCAACTCCCTGCTGCTCAGTGGGGATGACTATTTCCACCCAGTGCAACACAATGATGTGTCAGCTTACTTGGAGCTAGTATTGGGATCAGTAGGGTATGCAAAAGGAGTGATAAGGCATACAGTTTTTGTTGATGCAAAGTATTGTGGCTCTTTTGGAGGTAGCGTTAAGATCACTGAAAGGTATGGCGTTCACCTGCTCCAAACTTCCACATAGGCCACAATGTCTAGGAGCTTCACCTTGTCATACCTTGTAGTTGTGTTCTAGCATATCTCCTAGCAAGGCTTCCCCTGAATCCTGCTCCAGATTGTGCAAAGAAGACTGGGTTTACTTGGAAGAAGTGCACTGAGAGCAGATGACTGAAAAGTGGGGAGGAAGTGCCTCAGAGACTGGATGAACTGATGAAGCAAATGATTGGTGAGAGGAAAGAAGCAGGAACTTCCCTCTCTGCTGGAGCTCCAAAGCATCGGATTCAGCACCTCTTTTCTTTGATCAAGGAAAGAATCTTGCAAGAAGTTGCACTGAAACAGGTAGTTGTGGTGCTGCTTGAACAGTAGGAAGAAGATGATATCTTACTTCTCTGATTCCCCAAAATGCTGAAACCCTTGGCTTGATGGAATGAACCGGTTATCTTCATTTGACATTAAAGCCTGGGGCTATTTTTTTTTGATGGAGATATATCCTAATAATATCTTATCCCAGGCAGACAAGCTAAGGATATGAAGGAGGAAGTTCTGCATTTGAATGCCATTTGCAGCACTTCCAGTGATATGGCCTGGAAATCAGGTAGCTCAGCTAGCTTGACACTAACCTCTGCACTGCCCTGAATGTCATGCCACATCTATTATCCCCAGTGGTGACTGCACAGCATAATAAGGCTGTATGTGACATATCCTCCACTACTGGAAGCAGGTGGAGTATGGAAACATGAGAAATCTGGTAGAGATTTTTTCCTGACATAAATCACAGAATCACAGAATGGTTGAGGTTGGAAGGGA